AGTTTTTCCAGGTCATGTGGCCAGCATGACTAAGCCGCTTCTGGTGAAACCGGAGCAGCGCACGGAAATGCTGTTTACCTTCCCGCCGGAGCAGTACCTATTAATATATTTGCACTTTTTGGCGTGCTTTCGAACTGCTAGGTTGGCAGGAGCTGGGACTGAGCAACAGGAGCTCACCCCATTGCGGGGATTTGAGCCGCTGACCTTTTGATAAGCAAGCCCAAGTCTCAGTGGTTTAGACCACAGCGCCACCTGCGTCCCTTAACTTTGAGGTTAGGTTACATCACTGCAATATAATCTGCACAAGATGAAGTCTAGTCACAGAAAGTATACAGTACTACAAAAAAAGTGTACTGGCAGAAAATGCTTTTGCTAAAACCGAGTAACATAGCCAGTCCTCTGTAATATATGTCTAGAAAACCATTATTTATTATTTCTACTACTACTGGCTGTTATGTAACTTGGTTGTTACATTGGATGTAGCAACACTGTTAAGTGTTTTGACTCCTCAAATCACAGTTTGCAACATTTGTCTAGACTGTGGCATTCAGATATCCTGTTACTGTATTTACCAAATTGTGCTTTGGCGGTTGGGAATGCTCTGCAGGCTTCCCTGTTCCCCTTTGGACTCATTTACTTCTTTCACTGCCTTTCGCTGTTTAGCAATGACTGTGATTCATTGGGGTATCTGAACCAGCATAACCACAGCTACTGCTAACAAAAGTTTGCTCTCAAGCAATAAAACGATGCTAAATTAAACCGGGATATACGCCTAGTTTCCATAGTTTAGTTTGAGAACCAGTGGTGGTCAGTAGTAACTATATACCAGTTACAACATCCTGATATAAGATGTTGGGTAGAGAAAGCTAGAGAAACTCATAAATTATAGGTCTCCTTTGATTGCTTCTTTAGCCTTGAAATTCTTCTGGTTAAATTGCCACAAAGGGAGGGGAAATATGCATGGGCAGAGAGAAGCGATAATGAGGAGCACACAAAACTAGGATGTGTTCTAATCACTGAAACATGGTTTGATACTCAATCAGAATAATGTCTGAACCAAACCTGCAACCAGGGCTTTATTTCAACTGGAACTCACCAGCATCTCTCAGGTGGGCACTACTGCCATTATAAGAGAACGGGGGAGGCATTTATGGTGAGTTCCGGCACCTCTTTTTCTAGAAAAATAGCACTGCCTGCAACAATTCTCTGTATTTGAGAGAAAGAAAATCCTATTTTAATTTCTCCTATGAACTTGTATAACTGTATGCACATAACTTTTTTTTATCATGGAGTAGCTTCAAGATATGGGAAGTGATTACTGTGTGTCTGTGTCTACACTTTTTAAAATCAAGTGTAGCTAGGTTTGCATGACAGGGTGCTGTAGTGCTTAGAGTGCTGCAGAGCCGGCACGGAGGAGACCAAGTGTAAACCCACATTCAGCTATGAAGCTTATATGGTGACCTTGGAATAGTCACTATATCTCAGCCCTGAACATCTACAACTGTCATATTTAGAGTTACTGTTCTATATATATTTAAGAATAATACTGGAGACTGAAATCTCCTTTCAATTAGGATTGTGGAAATGTGATTCTCTAGTTACTTTGGGGATGGAATTTATCTTCTGATACTTAAGGTTTGTGTAACAGAGTATATGGAAAGCGTTAACATAATTATTCTTTTTGTCGTATATTATTGCAATTGCAAATGTTTGGCACTCTCACATATAGATTGTGTTTACCTGCACTAATTCTTTTCCAGCTTAAAAACTGGCATTCTTTAATTCTAAAGTGTCAGTAGAAGTCTCTAATAGCCTTTTCTCTTTAGTTCCAAAAGAGTGCTCAGCATCTTCAAATACAGTTTCTATATGAATTGCTGAAATTGGTAGAATCTGTTGAGATAGTGGTTTATGCTTCAAGCATAATATGGACAATCATAAATTGTTTTGAGCAGATGAATAGATTTCTCCCACTAGTGTTCTTTAAATTAATGCTGATGGAATTTGAATTCTTGAGCACTGAAGCTGATATTGATATCTAATTCTTAGTTTATCATTTATATGTTGACGGAGCAAAACAAATCTGTTAATATTGACGGATTGCCTTCTGTCTTCCATATATGGGTTGGTTCACATGTAACACCAACAGCTGGAAATTATACCCATATGAGTTCTTCCCATGCTTTGGAGCTATGGGAAGAAGCTGTGTGCCCATCCACTTCCCCTCTCTGTCTATCCTCCACTGTGTATTCCACTTCATTTAGGATTGCAGTCCTAGTTAGCCAGTTTGGATGTAATGGCAAACTATGGTTTAATCAAACAAAGAAGCAGAGTACCTGAGGACAGAGCTCATTCATGTACTGCCAAGATGTGATTTGGCATTACACATGAAGCAGCTCAATGTGTCTACCTCTTGTGCCTGTCCTCTAGTTTACTTTGAGCTTTTTTGAAAGTATTTACTTTTGATCTGTAATTTTGCAGGAAGCCAATCTAAGGCACTTCCCCACCTCTCTAAATTTGAGATGAATAAGCTATGGGGATATATCATGCCAGCCAAATGCATACAGCATTAGGAGTATTTATTTCACTTTTAAATAAACTAAATGATTCATATAGACCATGCCAGGTTGTTTTCCAGTCTTTACAAATGTTATTGCTGAATTTGAAAATAAATGTGAAAATTCATTCATCCATGTTTAAAACAAATTCTTGTGTAATGTTCAGTTTTTAAGATTGGGTAGTTGTAATCTTGGGTTATTGTGTTTATATTATAACATGCATTATTCCCTTGATGTTGATTTGTTTATTGTTTTTATTGTCCTTATCAGGAAAGCAGGTTTACAGTCCATTATATACTTTGTACCTCAGCATTCAGCTAGACATTTGTGCCATTTTTTAGTAGTACTTTAGGTACTATTTTCTCAGCAGAACGAAAGTCAACCTGCCAAATATTATTTTGAATATAGATCTTTTATAGAATTATCATTGCCCACTGCATAACCTACTTTCATAGCTAGTTCTTCTGGTTATATTAAAGTGCATCCAGTTCAGGATTTGGTTCAGATACTGAATTCTATCAATACATGTTTCCACAGTCGGCACAACTCTTCTGCATGTAGTAAAGATATATCATATCTTACTCCTCTGAGCTTGCAGAATGAATACCTTTATTTTTAATTAGTTACTATGACTTTTTAATGTCCAAATGGTAGTTGGTAATGTGTTTTTTGGAGAGAGAAGGGAAAGTAAATCTTTCCCTCAGTTTTAAATAAAATAATGATTTCAAACAGTATAACAGTACAATCCTATACATGTCTACTCAGAATTTCCTCTATATAAAGCTACCCATTTCTATTTCCTCCAATACATCCACTATTACACTGTTTACTGGTGATGGCTATCTGGTAGGGCGACAGAGTGTAGAGTAGCAAGTGAGGGTGTTTTCTGCAGCTAATAGTGCTGGCATCCCTCTTGTGGCTCATTGAATTGCTTCCGAGGAAGGAAGAACCATTTGCAATGATAGAGTGGTTTGGTTGCTGCTGGAACAGCAGAGACAGGGTTATCTTCTCATCTCTTGCTTGGGGCTGCTGCTTCACCTTCCACTTGGTGCCCCTGACCTCCAGACAAGAAGAGCTGAAGATGGAAGAGCTATCATACTCCCTGTGATGCCTTCTTCACCCACTTCTCACTCACTCTTGCCCAGGTGGGAAAACAAGTAATGACTGACACCCGCCCCCTTCCTTGGCTCTTTTGCACAAGCTTTGCTCTGCTAAGGGAGGGAAAGAAAAAGTGGGAAAACTCAGGATTTATATTTCTCCTAGGTGGCTGCTGCATACCATCTGCAGTAGAGATTGGTTCAAAAGTTAGGGACTTTGTAAAGAGGCACAGGAGTGTTTAAAGCTGCAAAAGAAAATTGTTGGAACACATATAGTTTATACGTGCATATATATATTGTTGGCTTTTTATTTTGGTTGTAATAGCTGCTGAAGTTTTGTGGTCACTCTTATTGGTCGAATGATATTTTGATTATTAAACTTGTACATTTCAACAGCAATTTTTTTTTTTAGAAGGATTTCATCCAGAACCTTAAAAAAAGATTGCATTCCTATGTCCATGTTTTTCAGATACTTTATTGAATGATATAATTTATTGCCTTTCCAGCAAAAATTGCTCAAAAAGCATATAAATGCAAAATTTATATAAGGGCAGATTATGCCAAATTGCTCATTTTGCCAGTGACAAGTACCATCCCTCTGGCAAGTGGATTCTCTGCAAATATGAAGGAGAGGGTGTTTTGTTTCGTTTCCCTCTGTAAAATCATAGTGAAAGAAAACAGACACATCCCACTTCCCCACTTCCTACAAGCATTGGGGAAGAAGTAATATCCATGCTGCTGCTTGCATTCTCTGAAGACCTGCAGGAGGTAGAATAAACTATTGACCCTCTCCCAAGTGCTCTGAACAGTTGGAGCTGGGTGGATGGTGGCAACCACAAATGAAAGATGGCTAGCAAGCCAAGCAAAAGATGTGTGGATATCTGTTTTTATGATGTGATATAAAATCATGTTTCTAGGAGAAATGGACAACATTAAATTTTTTATACCTTCTTTATTAACAATACTAATTTGCATTTATTACACTACAATAAAACATTAGTAGTTTCTTATACATCAGAAACACTGAGGGCTGTATCCAACAGAGTTGTCTTGTTGCTGCAAGAACTTTCCCCCCTCTCCTCCCCCAGCCCAGATATCTTCTGGAGTTTCCCCACAACTCTCCAGAGCAATTGTTTGGTTGTGTCTATGTGTGTGTATGCTGGGAACACGGAGGAGAAGGGAGGTCAGGTTCCATTGCAGAAGTCTTTATGTGAATGAGATGACTTCTGTTGGATACAACCCTTTATTAATTTTTAGTAGCAGCTCATATTAACACAATTTAAATGGGAAAAAAATCATTTTGCCTAAACCTGATGTTGCATTTTATTTTGCTTTCATGCTTTGTTAGAAATATAAAGAAAAGGATAAACATAAACAAAAACACAAGAAGCAATCAGAATCCTCACCGTCTCTGGTTCCTTCTCTAACAGTAACTACAGAGAAAGTAAGTGAGCTTTTCCTACATCTTCTTTAGAATGACATTTATATTCTTGGTGTATGTTTTATGGAGTGAGGAATTCTGCTGTTGCTAAATTGCTTATCACAGAGAACCCCCTATTGATGACTAGCAGTCCTTCTGATCAAACAGCTGTGCTATTAGGTATTTGTAATATAACAAACTTGATTTTTTAAATGTACATGTTTTCTAAAAAATGGGATATCATTGATTCTATATTACTATTCTGCTAAAGTACTCTGCTGCTTACATAAATAAATAGAATAGAATAGCCTCAATTATTTTAAAATTTTCATATTCTCATTTGTAATCTATACTATAGTTTGCCAGTAAGTATCATGGTTTGGATGTCAGAGGAAATTCTGGTTTAACAAACCCTGGAGTACCATATATATAGTACAGTACATGTATAGTACATCATAGTCTGTTGAAACTTCCACAATTGAATCAGTTATAATACATGAAACAATATTTCCAAGTAATTTGTTCAGTTAGCTGGTTCAATTATGCAGTATCAGAGAAACAGTAAGTGTTGGGCAGTAAATCCGTCCGAGGGAGGAGGCAGCAGACACTACTGTCTACACAGGCATTAACCGCCTTGTGAACCCACCCTGTCAGTCCCTGCTGACTAGATCTCACAGGCCATGTTGGGCAAGGGACAAGATAACATGTTTTTGGCTTGACCCTTGCAACCTTCCTGCCCACATTCTCAGGCTGCAATAACTCAAACTGATCTCACACAAAAATAACCAGATGGGTGTTCTAGACACCTCTACAGCAAAAAGAAAGGAAGGAGAGTAGGAAGTATGGTCTCAACCCCAAAAGTCATTGGAGTTTTCCAACTAATTTCTGTTAAGAGTAGACCCACTGAAATGAATATTAATTGGTCTACTGTACATATGACTAAAGGGACGCAGGTGGCGCTGTGGGTAAAACCTCAGCGCCTAGGGTTTGCCGATCACATGGTCGGCAGTTCGAATCCCCGCGGCGGGGTGAGCTCCCGTCTTCGGTCCCAGCTCCTGCCCACCTAGCAGTTCGAAAGCACCCTTAAAGTGCAAGTAGATAAATAGGTACCACTTTCTAGCGGGAAGCTAAATGGCGTTTTCCGTGTGCTGCGTTGGTGCTGGCTCGCCAGAGCAGCTTTGTCACGCTGGCCATGTGACCTGGAAGTGTCTCCGGACAGCGCTGGCCCCCGGCCTCTTAAGTGAGATGGGCGCACAACCCTAGAGTTGGACACGACTGGCCCGTACGGGCAGGGGTACCTTTACCTTTTTACATATGACTAACACTGGATACAACTCACAGATTGGACTCAAATCACTGCATTTCTGGGCTATATTTTTGATGCTTTAGAGTTCCTGTCCTTAGTCTACTTATGTGACTTCGTAACACATCTTCTGCTTTGGCAGACATTTTATCCAGTAGGCTAAGTATCATTTTGCTTATCATACCCACCCCCTCTTTGCTAGAAGAAGTGTACAGTACTGTTTCCATAACCTAGTGGTCTTTAGTTACAGATAGGTAGCCGTGTTGGTCTGCCATAGTCAAAACAAAAAAATTCCTTCCAGTAGCACCTTAAAGACCAACTAAGTTAGTTCTTGGTATGAGCTTTCGTGTGCATGCACACTTCTTCAGATACACTGAAACAGAAGTTGCCAGATCCTTTTTTTCACCTTCTCACCCCTTGCTTTTTCCTGTAAGACCTACTACAGTCGTTAAGAGTCGTCAACAGGCTCATCACAGCTATCTGCCAATCACCCATTCCCACCACCCTTCTGAGTAATACCCCTCCCCACCTTCTCACTATATAGAAGGATCTGGCAACTTCTGTTTCAGTGTATCTGAAGAAGTGTGCATGCACACGAAAGCTCATACCAAGAACTAACTTAGTTGGTCTTTAAGGTGCTACTGGAAGGAATTTTTTTGTTTTGACTAGTGGTCTTTAGGCAAAGATGATATCTAAAATATTTTTTTGCTTCCAGATTTTTTAAAAATAAAATCTTTGCAAGAGAATCAGCAGAAATATTGGCATTTGGGCATTGTTTTGTATGTCAAAATGTGTTCATATCTCTCACCTGAGGATCTTGTTTCTATGCAAGTTATGTGACTTACGTATAAAAGGAACATTAAGAGATTTTTTTCCTTTGGTGCTTTAGGTCATATGGAGCTCCTATCATGTGAAGGTTTCTTATGTAGGTGGTAGGCTTAAATTTATGTTTCTGTTCGCAAAATGTGTTTCTAGATTTCATGGCTGTGGAGTTAGCTTTCGGTTTCCAACACCATGTTGTTTGAACAAATCTGTAATATAAGCAGAAGTATAACTGGAAATTATACCCATATGAGTGTTTCCTAATGATACCCAAGGGGAAGATTCAGATACTTCTCTCTCAAGTGGTGTAGAGAAAATAGATTAAAACATTGGGTACTATTTCCCCCACTTTTTCATAAGTGTTCATCAAACTAGTTTGTAATGATAGTCTATAATGCAGTCACCTGACTATCTTAATCACCAGTATTTTCTCTTTTCATGGCCTTGTCCTTTTAGAAAGAAAAACCTAGCATTCCTCATGTCAAAGCAGCAAGTTCCAACACTGACCTTCCTTTTGTAACTGAAAATTCCTAAGTTTTAGAATCTCTTGCTGGATGACAGTTCTATAATTTATGTAGATGGGATTCCAGTATTCAAATGTGAATGCACTTACACAGTTGCATGTTCTTTGCATTTCTCCCTACCAATTGGTTAAAAAATGTTTCTGGAGAGATAATAGCCAATTCAAAGACTCTCAAACACTCCACTGTTTTACAAGTACCTTGGTAATGGTTTAATAAAATGGCACTATTTTCTTTAGTTCTACATACAGCTGATGGTTTCTCTTTTAATATACTATAGTATATTAGCAGCAGCAGCAGCAAAAAAAATAATTAAAAAAATCAGAAGTAGTGTTTGGTATTTGACACCATAGAGAGAGAAAAATAGAATCAAGCAAAGATATTTGGGCTTATGGGGTATCTCATCACTGTGGCAGTTACTAGTATAGTATGAAGGGCAAACTACTGGATCACATTCCATAATGCAAGAATTAAAATATACTGAACTATAACCACTACAAACATGTTTGGTAGAGACTTTTAACCAGGGATACAAGTTCTCTTCTGGAATTGCATCTTGAAGCTGGGCAAGTTACGTGTTGTCTGCTTTCATTGGATGAATCTTGTTCCTTTATTTTAAAGAACTGTTTAGGATGGGAGTAATTGGGATTGGGACCATGGCACACGGGGAGAGGAGTTAATGCTTCCCCCATCATGGTCCTGACAAAAATTATGTCTCTGAAGCTGATGCTTGTCCCAATGGGGAGACTGTTCTTGACACCAGTGACAGCCTTAGGTGGAGGAGTTGTTGGGCAAGAAGGTCAACCACTCTTTTCGGCATGCTGAGGTCCCCATCTTTATCCTACCCTCCACCCCAGCCAGCTGTTGCATCAAATAAAATAACTATACATGTTAATTGCAATATTTGCTTGTTGGCTTTTTCTCCTGAAAAAGGTGGAATATGGATGAGAAAATGCAATACAGTCATACCTTAGGTTACAGATGCTTCAGGTTGTGTTTTTTCGGGTTACGGACAGCCGAAACCCGTAAGTACTGGAATGGGTTACTTCTGGGTTTCAATGGTCGCACATGCACAGAAGCGCTAAATTGTGCTTTGTGCATGTGCAGAAGTGCCGAATTGCAACCTGCGCATGCGCAGACGTGCTGCTGTGGGTTGTGAAAGCTGTCAGTTGCGAACGTGCATCCCACATGGATCACGTTCGCAACCCGAGTGTCCACTGTACCTCATTTGGGAATAGTGAAGATGCTGGTGTAGAATACTCCAAATAAGAGCCTGTGGTCTTCCTTTGTGGTCTTCTTTCTCAAGGCAGAGCAGGTTGCCCTAAGAAGCCATTTAATTTCTCAAGGCATATGAGGGGAAATAATACCTAATGAAATGGCCAGATTCTTAAAACGACCTAGAAAAGTGTCTGAGAAAGATAAATTGTAATTAGAAAGGCACTTTCTAGGTTTCAGCTAGGTTTCAGTCAGTAAGCGCCCGCCCCCCCCATCCCGCCCCCTGTTCTGGAATGCTAAGCTTTAATTTGTCACTTCTGAGGCTTCATGGAATTTTGCCACAATTTATTAGCTTTTTAAACCTATTATAAAATAGAAGTTGGTTTATAATTAGTCACAACTGAAGCTGCTTACCTCACAAGACACCTAGAATAAACAATGGCTTGCCTGTTTGACGTCAGATGGTCCACAACTTTTTTTAAAAGAAAGATAGACACTCAGAATAAAAACAAAATGCAATACAAAACTAGAGTAAGACAGGCAATAAAAAGAATGTCAGCAATTAAATGCAGCAGATTAAAACAGTCTTTAAAAGGTCTGGGAGAACATGGAGACTTTTTCCTGGCTCCAAAAGATAGCAAAATAGGCACAGGTGAGCCTGTCAGAGGAGACGTGGCATCCTTCCTGTAAAAGGCCTCTGGTTTCCCATTAGCCTCACCACATATGTCAAGGGCATCTCAAAGCATCATTTGCTGACCTACACATGGGAGGTTTCATGTAGGAACATGCATTTGTTCAGCTACCCTGATTCTAAGCAATGTATGATGTGCAACGTCTTCAAATACTTGTTGGCATCCGTCTGTCTTGAGAGACAATAGAGTGCCTCTCCAGGAGCAAAGTCAAACTGCTGGAGAAGCACAGCACCTGCTGTGTTGGTAACTCATAACTGCTGCCTCCTGTGTTATGTTTGCTGCGTTAGCATCACAGAAGTGACCTCCCTGAGGCGCAAGCCTGAGCAGTATGTATTGAGGTCTTGAGCTGCCCAAACGGCAATACCCCCCTCTCAGCCTCACTGATGTATTGCTCTGCTTTCCTTTGGACTACGTTTGGCACCAGCTTGGCTGTAGGAATTTCTGGAATGAAGCGTACAAGGTGCCATTGAACCGTCTTAGGGATTCTACTTCGGATTGGTGTAGGGTTTACTCCTGAGCCTTTTCTTCTGCCAGAGATGTTCTGCAAGGAATTGGATGTCTAGGATCAGAATTTCCTTCTTTTTGATGGGCTACCCTCCCAGAGAAGTCCCATCTGCCCCTCACTTTCCTCTACAGCTCATACAGAAACTGCTTTCTTGACTGTTGGAACTACTATTGGTCTCATCCGCTCAGTCTGCCAGAGCCTGTCTTTGCATGCAGGGGAAGTCCGTAACTCAGCAAGGGTTGGAAACCCATAAGCTACCTTCACCTGGTTTAACTGTCAAGTTGAAGCTGTTCCTGGGGTGCAGCCACTATCGCATGCTGACAGCTTCTAGGAGTACTGAATATGTTTGTAGAAAAATGTGTGTTAAGTGTAAACAGCACCTGAGAAAACTGGCCAGAGCTAATCTTTTAGGTGAAAGTTTATATTGCATTTCCAAAGTACATAACAAAATGTCACCCTTTTGAATTACACTGATTGCGCTTTGTTGGTCTTTATCACTTCTAAATTTGCTCTTGGATTCAGCTGGGTTTCATTTGGTTTAAGGAAAACATTCCCTTTATTTTATGGGGCGAATGCTGATACATATAGAATCAAAATGGCACCCCACCCTCCCACTTGAGAGGCAGCAGAAGACACAGGGGAACTCAGCTTTGCAGAAGTACAGCATTAGAAATAAAAATAAAAGGGGACCAAGATCAGGAAATGGATTGTGTATACATGTGCACAACGATTTTCTGTCCTGACAGTTGCAGGAGGTGGGGAAGGAGAAGTACGGGCAGTAGTTCCACTGCCATCCGTACTCATTTGGGAGGCCAGACTTGCAGTAACAGCTGCCACTGGAACTGTGCAAGCTATGAATGTCCTTCATTCTTCCTGTAACACATTTGCCTGTCTCAGATTTGAAAGCAGATAGAGGAATGATGGAAATCCCTAAGGTGGGGCTTCTGGCATCTCCCTTAGAAATGAGACTGGCTCTAGGTTGAGAAGGAGGGTGTGTTAGCACAGCAGGCTATTAAAAGAAATAGGAGGCCCAGGTAGAGCACAAGATCATGGGTGGAGGCCTGATGATACCCTGTGGGAATTCCTCTGGGTGTTGCACCCATGGAACCAGAGAAACTCATATTTAATGTAAAATGCAGTAACTTTGATGAAGTTTAATCATCAGGTGTTAAGTTTAACATGGCTTCTACATGGTTTAATTTTATTAATCTCCCATAGGGAAATGAGGACCTCAAATAAGTTCCAACATGGTACAAGTTTCTGAATAAAGCTTTCTTTCATTTGTTACTCATGAACATGCAACACATTTGACCCTGTGGAAATGCTAGAAAAAATATTTTTTTCTCTATTATGTCTTTATTATATTGTATATGGCCACTTGCTACCTGATTCACTAGGACCGCACAATATTTTTCTCAGGGGTATATTTTTAAAAACTTCATTAAAGATTCATGTTTGGTGTTTTTCCAGATTGTGTGAAGTAAATTAGAAGTAATATATTTGGTCTTTATATTTAAGCAGTATTTTAATTTAATCAATATGTCAAATATGTTTATATTATTTGTGGAATGCTCTCCTCAGGGAGGTTCACCTGGTGCCATCATTACATGTCTTTAGGCGCTAGGCAAAAACGTTTCTCTGCAACCAGGTGTTTGGCTGATTAACATTCTATGGCTTTTTAAATGTGTTTGTGGGAGTGGGGTTATTGGTTTGTTTTTGTTTTATTATGTATTTTGCATTCTCATTTTGTATTTTAATGTTGTGAACTGCACTAGGATCTTCAGATGGAGGGTGGTATACAAATTTAAACAACAACAACTTTAAGTGGACAAAGTGCTTGTTGACACTTAAGGAAGTGAAACCATACTGCACTTGTTTCACTGGCTTACGTCTACCATTTTGAAAAAATTGTTTGAAGCATTTCCAAAAATGGCTTTTACAAAAAACAAACCCCATAGTAATTCTGTTGCAGAATTAGGAGTGCAATCTAGCCAGATTTAAGCACTTTGAACTTCAATTAGAGAGCATTAAGGAGATGTTCAAATCTTTTCCATTAAAATGAATGAAACCTAAGTTTTTAATGGTTGGCTGAATTGTGTTCTGTTTTGGTTTTAAAAAAACAAACCTTTGGCAAGAATTCAAAGGGCTGTGAATGGTGTTTCATGCAAACACACATTTTATTTTCTTTTAAAAAGGCCTGATTTGCACTGCAGCACCTGCTGTCCCTTAAAAACATTGTACTTGAGGGTTGGGGAAGCCTTCTTGAGCAGTAGTTGATATGGTTCAAGGGTGTGCACCTAGAAGGGAAAATATGCAATCCATTTGTGCATATATGGAAGTATTATAGGCATGTGGGTTAAACTACAGAGCCTAGGACTTGCTGATCAGAAGGTCGGTGGTTCGAATCCCCGCGACGGGGTGAGCTCCCGTTGCTCGGTCCCTGCTCCTGCCAACCTAGCAGTTAGAAAGCACGTCAACGTACAAGTAGATAAATAGGTACCGCTCTGGCGGGAAGGTAAACGGCGTTTCCGTGCGCTACTTTGGTTCGCCAGAAGCGGCTTAGTCATGCTGGGGCCACATGACCCAGAAGCTGTACGCCGGTTCTCTCACCCAATAAAGCGAGATGAGCGCCGCAACCCCAGAGTCGGCCACGACTGGACCTAATGGTCAGGGGTCCCTTTAACTTTACCTATAGAGCTCTATAGATCCTGGCCCATAACTACTAAATTTTTACCAGTAGAAAATCAGCTTTAAGATTTAGTTACTAATTTTTAAATTGCAAGCAGCACTGCAGAAAAAATCCATACATGTGTTAATGAATAAGTATAAATATTGGTGTAAGTGTATTGTATTTCATCATATTGTATTTTCTTTTATACGTTGTACAGAAAATTAAAAATTACCTTTCAGATAATTACAATAGTCTGAACAACCTAAAGGAAAAGAGCTATCTTACAAAAGCTTATATCTGCACATCTAAGGCAATAAAGATTAATTTACAGAATAACCTGTTGTTACATGTTGCAAAAGCATGCATTTCAGCAGGAACTAGTGTTTGGAAAAATAGCTGACATTTTCTGTATTTAATAAATAGAAGTATCATGATTAAGTGTAAGGGGATGCTAGTATGTGCACTTCTACTAATTGCTGCAATCTGATGCTAGCAAAACTGACAGCTGATATCTTGCTGATATATTAGTAAGTGTATTTTGTTCTTTATAGTTCCCTGTCAGTTTAAATTTTTTTTAAACCCACCTTTAAAGTGCTCAGTTATTTTAAGTGGCAACTTTATAACATAGTTAGCTTTAACTTTGTCTATGCTGTTTTAGAATGTTGGGACACATCTATGTTTCTGAATTGAAACAACGTTGTGTGTCTTTTGGAGTACAGTTAATTTATTGTGGTCTAACTGTCTCTCTCAACTTCCTCTTTCCCACTTCAATACTGTTAGACTTACACAAGCACTACCAACAACTCTATGACAGGCTCATTGAAGAGGCTGGAAGATACCGCAGCTCGCTTTACAAATGCAAATTTCCAGGAAGTGTCTGCACATGCTTCAAGTGGTAAAGATGTTTCAGAGGCCAGAGGTTCAGAGAGCAAAGGGAAGAAGTCCGCAGGTCATAATTCAGGTCAGAGGGGAAGAAAGCCTGGTGGTGGAAGGACTCCTGGAGCTCCGGTGTCAGCAGCTTGTACTTTTCAACAAGGTATTATTCAAGAATACTATATAACTTCCATGACTGCCAAGAATTAAATAGGTTAAAAACTTTGCAAATTTAGATGTACTTTTCTGTGTATTATATTTGATCAATGCAACAACTGAATTGTATGCTAATTTAGTTGAGAGAAAATGTTTTGGGACAGCTAGCAGAAGTAATGCATCTTTTCTTTAAATAGATAAGTACTATTATTGTGATTAGAATATTCCTTTCCAGGAATATTTTTATAGCTATGAAATATAACCATCTGAGGGGATGAACCCTGTTTCTCAAGCTGAGACACAGGCAAATGATTTTGTATTCATACAGTCTTTCAGGTTGTTGATTACATTTAATCAATCACTACATTTCTTTAGTCTGCATGCAGTAACACTTTTTTTTGAAGCAAACTGCTCATACTACTTAATAAATAATGGACGGTCTATAATCAATGCTTGTTTAATTGGTGATATTTTAATATTTGACACCGTATTTAGCTCACTTCATTCTAGTTATCCTTTCCATACGTTATGATCCACTCTTTTTACACACAGATACCCTACTGTAGTTATGGATTTCTTCTGCCACAACAGAAGAATCAGGCAACTATGATTAATACTAACCTCTGAACCGTGTTTTTCAAAACCACGATTTCAAATAATTGCTTGAAACATAGCTGTAACATACAACTAACTATGGTTGTACTATAATGGAGGAGGGAATCTTTTGTGTAGGTGAGAATAAGCAATCCAGACTTGATTTGATTTTCCAACTCATGGCGTGGAGGATCATCTGAACTAAGCCAAAGTCACCCTGGGTCTCTGCTGATGAACCTAAGAGTTCCAGGCCTATCACTCCCCATTCTCTCCTATGAGCAAACAGCTTTTGCAAACTTCCTGTGGTATTTCTTTCTGTTCCTCTTACTTTCACAAAATCGCCCCCTCTTTGGTCTTTGGGAGATGGGGGGGGGTAGCTCAGTCAGTAAAGCATGAGACTCAATCCCAGGCTTGTGGGTTCGAACCCAACGTTGGGCAAAAGATTCTTGCATTGCAGGGAGTTGGACTAGATGATCCTCGTGGTCCCTTCCAACTCTTCATTTCTACAATTCTTCTTCCTCAATTTCCTGTGATGCTATAAAGTAGAAACAGCCCCTTTCATGCCTGTTTTTCCACCCCTGCAGTTATTCAGTATACCTGGGCTTTATTCCAGACAGCTGGTACAGGTGGGAAGCCAAAATACCTTGGCATCTCTTCCAGATTCAAAACAGCCTGTTTGAAAAGTAGTTGTTGCCTGTCCTGGGCTTGTGGGGGAAAGACAATAGATCAAACAGCAGATAACATGCTTGTAGAAGGTCCCAGTTTCCACCCCTGGTATCTCCAGTTACACAGGCTGTAGAGCTGGGAAAGACCTTGATCAGATGCTGCTAGTTAGGTTGGACAATATTGGGTAGACAGTATTAGTCATGATGGACCAAATTGTCTGGCTCCGTATAAGGCAGCTTTTCATAGGTTCAAGTGAGCTAGAAATGTGACTACCAAGTGTGTGTTAACACATATTAAAATCTAATCCTTCCTAATGGATTTTGCTTATATTATCCACATTATATACAGGACATAAACTGCCTAGTATAAGATATAAATGCAAAACACATGCACATTTCCAGTGCAGTTCTGTGCATGTTTACTCAAAAATAAGTCCCACTATGTTCAATACGACTTATTCCCAGGTAAGCATGCATAGGATAGTAACCTGAGTGTACTTGAGATAAATATTGATATTTAAGTAGAATAAGAAATACTGTTTGTAATCACGCATAGCTCTCTATATGAAATGTGAATGTCAGCTTCCTTGGGGCAGTACAAACAATTTTTCTTCTTTATTCTTGTTACACTTGAGACTATTCCTTTAGATATTGAGCAGGATTACCTTGTGGTGATTTTCTGTTGTATTTTCTATAATATCTGTCCTCAACTTACGTAAACATTACACAGTATGGGAGCATGTTGGAATAAAGACAAAAGGATTAGTGCTCAAGCAAGGAAGAAATTAGACATATAAGAAAAGCTGTCTTGGCCATTTTCCTCAGTATAGTGTCCTAATTTTCTCCTTCTGTTGAATGTCAACCTATATCTTAGAAGTGTATTGGGAACACTTGGCTTCAAATACCCTGATTAGCAGTTATTTACTGGCAGGCTACTTTGCCATTGGGCTAGACAGTTATAGCCACTTTCCCGGTTTCCCTCCATGCTACCTTAAATATGGGAGCTGGTAGTAAGTGAACAGGGATTAGAGGCTTCCCTCCCTCCCTAATGTACCTGATGTTCTCCTTATGATTCTCCTTTTGTGGGGAGGAGTTAGGAGGAAAAGATTGGAGTGCACCTCTGACAAGTGTGTGTCTTAAGTCATTTATCCACTTCTTCTTCTTCTTCTTCTTCTTCTTCTTCAATTTATACCCCACCTTTCTTTCACCAAGGTGGTGAGGATAGTTTTTCTCTTTCATGTTTTATCTTTGCAACAACTGTTGAGTTTCTGGGGTGTGGGTGTGCCTCCTAGTGCAGCACTCTACATCGCACTAGTTGTCAACCTAACTTATCTTTCCTTTATATGAAACTGTTTCAAGACACCTAAAAGGGACGGAATGGTTTGGCAGCTGTGAAATCAGTTGCCACTCTCTTCTGTCATATAACATATAACACATTTCATCATGTTATTCAGAAGCTGTTTATCTTATTGTTTGACACCTGAAAGCCTTTTTTAAAAATTTGCATTAAGCTGTTCTGTCACATTATCTTCTGATTTTCTGTAGATTTTGCATTTTACTGTTTTCAGAATCTAGTTTCTCTTATTGTTATTTTATTTTTGATTTGTGTATAATTGTATAGTGTAATGTGTGCAGTTTTTTATGGTCCTGCCTTTTTACATTTTTGTCTTGGCCTGAGGACCACCAGCTGCCAACCCCTTTTCATCCAGCAAGGAATTACTGCATGCTGTAATTTTTGTTAGTCCAGCATCCTGTTCTCACAGTGGCCAGCCACAGTACCAAAATTAACTGTGCTTAATCTTAGCTGCTTTGTTGCAAGAAGCTATGGTTAAGAGTAACCACAGTTTAGAGTGGTAAACTCTGGTTAATCTACAATGCAGTCTAAAGTTTCTGAGCTCCTCATAGAGGGGGAAGGGAAAATTATATGAGATTGAAACTTGTTATTGTAATCCTTCAGCTGATTGTAAATTTCTGAGGAGCCAAGTAGGGACTTCGCAAGACCTGTCAATCACTGATTGAATCCCAGGATCACAGTTATAATTCTAAACTATGGTTTGTCATGACATCTGAACCATCTCTTTTCACTTTTTACAGATATGTTCATCAGCCTCTGTACTGAAAGCATTTGACATATATGCAAAGTATTTTAAAAGGCATCCAATACAATGCTCATATTTATTGTAGGAATATTCTTTTCCTATTGGAAAGCTTTGTGATTAATTTTCAGTTATTTTGAGACTTATTTATTATGGTTTTGCTGAAACTGGTAAAACTAATAATTAGAAGGGGAACATATTGGCCATGTTTGGATTCCATTTTCTGAGAAATGTTTTGTTCATACAGATTTGCCTTGTGGGGAATTAGTCAGTGCCATCTAGAAAGGGCAAGTCAGAGTGATAGAAACAGGGATAAACTTAGGGCACACTGCCATCCCACCCCCAGTTACCCTGACATCTTTTCTGCCCCAGGGCAGTCGTGGCTGAGAAATTATATTCTAGAGGATTTTCATTGGCACAATATCATAAAACAGTTTTATAAAACAATTTGAACATTGGTGCCAAAGTTGAATTACAGAGTGATAAGAACCTCTACTTTGTGATTTACTTGGGCTTTATCCATTTTATGAGTGCAATCTCAGTCATTACTGTCCGGGCCAGTAAAGAGCTGAAAGAAATGAAGGTTGGCTGGGAATATGAGAACATAACATGTGCTGTAACTTTGCCACTTCCCTGCCCCTTTTAGATGGCACAAAGACCGCAGCAAAACTCTTATAGAACACAAACAGCAAAGCTGCTGTAACTTCTTCTTTGACAACAAGATACATGTGCTAATTGTATTGCTGTGCTTACACATTTGCCAGTTTATTTTATTTTTAACACTCTTTTTTTGTCCTTTTCTCCAGGAAGTTTTTTGGGAACTCCTAGTAGTATAAAGTCATCTTCCGGAAGTTCAGTTCAGTCTCCCCAGGACTTTTTGAGTTTTACAGACTCGGATCTACGTAATGACAGCTATACTCATTCCCAGCAGACATTGTCGACCAAAGATGTACATAAAGGAGAGACTGGAAGCCAGGAAGGGGGTGTGAATTGTTTTACTTCCTTAATTGGTCTTCCTTCAACCTCAACTGTTGCCTCCCAGCCTAATATTTTTGACAGCTCACCTGGAGAGTTGGGTAATTCAAGCCTTACATCAACAGGATACAAGCGTGTTCAGTCCTCTGGGACAGAGGATGAAACTGTAAAGGAAAAGAAGCGGAAAGGAAATAAGCAGTGTAAACATGGGCCTGGTAGGCCAAAAGGAAATAAAAGTCAGGAGAATATTTCCCACCTATCGGTTTGTTCTGCCTCCCCAACATCATCTGTGGCATCTGCTGCAGGAAGTATAACCAGTTCTAATTTGCAAAAATCTCCAACGTTGCTTAGGAATGGAAGTCTACAAAGTCTCAGTGTTGGCTCCTCCCCTGTTGGTTCAGGTAGGCATATGTTTTAATTTAGAAAGCAAAAGTTTGAATATATAATATAAAATGGAACTTTGGGCTCAATGATCATATACATTCAGTCTAAGTTGATTCCCCCTAAACTGGCTATCTTGAAAATAGAAAAATTAGCATACACCCCATCACACTATACGCATGTTTGGAATAATGACTAACAAAGATTGAACTTAAAATACTTATAACTAGAAACAAACTGAGGTCTCATCCAATAATGCCTGTTAAGAAAACGTGTAACGACTTTCTTCGCTTTGTATTAATATTCTCAGTGTTTCACGAGGATCCCTGATAGACACATGCAAAGATAATTGTTTTGTTCTGTAATGGCATTTGGCTTTGCTATTAAAGTTTTATTTTTAAAAAATTAAAGCAAAATTAAAGTTTTGCAAATAGCTGAAAAAGTAAAGGAGACGTGTGCTTAGTTTTCTTCAGCATCCTTGAAAACTGTTTCTGCAGTCACCTTAACAGGGCTAGTGGGTGTCTGTTACAGGTCTCCTTTTCGGTGCTACTTATGTTTAGGCCACTAAAGACCCATTGCAAGAATTCCTAGGATTGAATACCTGAACTTGGCTTTGGATTGAGGGGTTTGGAATACCAGGTGCTGTGATTTTTTTTAAGGTGTAGAATCCTTAGAAATGTTAGAATTTCAGTGCAAGACTATAAACTAGAAAGCCTTTATGGAGGCATGACATAATTTCTTAACTGGGTGGGTTTTAGGTATACTTTATAGAGGCACCACAAAAAGACACCTCCTACACTTTGTGTCCAAATATTTAATCAGTGGTGTTGGATGGAAAAATTTCTACAGTTACATTTTCCCATGGAACAATTTTCAGATTGAGGTATGCATTATTTTCTAAAATTTACTAGCAATGTAATTAATTTGACTATTTGGAGAACTTTTCAGATATTTAAACAGTAAGTAAAATTAATACGACTTTTTAATTTTTATTTAACCAGGTCAGACTTACTTGGTTCAGATACCCTTTAAGATAGATGATTTTTTATTTTATTTTATTTTATTTTGGATTTCAAGCTTTTCCAAAAAATTCACTCTACTATTTTCAATAAGAGATATTGAAAACAGTATATATTTCAAACCAGGATATATTTTAATGGAAAAAGACTAAGGGAAAATAGTAGCAGAAGGTAACAGCTATTTGAATTCCTCTTTCTGGCTTGCAAACAAGCGGATATTTTGTAACTGGGAAGCAGCTACCAAAACTACTGTTATTTTAAGTGTACAGTTTCCTTTACTCTAGAATGAAAGCAGTCGACAGCATTGTGTGGCTTTTTAACAGCCATTATCTTTCCTGGGTGTCCTTAAAATTCCAACCGCTTCCCTGATAATTGCAACTGTAACTTTTAAAGAATGATTTAAATATCCTGTGTATGTGAGTTCGAACTTTCTCTCTAAAACTATTCTTCCTCCAACTCTTTATTTCTTGCCTATCAAACTTAAAATGTTTCTACACAGGAAGTTACTGTTGGCTATTCTTGTTTAACAGTTCTTGAAGAACATAGAACTTTAAGGGGGGGCCCTGAAATTTGTGTGCATTTTATTTTGGGCACATAAAGTAAATTGATGTGGGCAATTTGAAAAGTATGCAGAAAGTAAAAGGTCTGTTACACTGCCAGCATCCCCTCCAATTTGTGACAGCCTTGATATTTAAAATTCCTTTATGTATGCGATGTTTAGCACTTTCAGGCAAACCGGCAGGGTTGAGCAACAACACAGTGTTGTTACCCCTCTATTATATTTAGAAATGTTATCATTGGAATATGGTCTTTGGGAGCAGAAAGCCCTTTGTGATATAGCTTGATTCATCAAGTACCTATGCAGGAACTATATCAGTTAAGCAGGATCAACACTGCTTTGAAAACAATATACAAGGGGACCTTCAGCTGTCATCTGCACTATATTTTCCATATCTTTTCCAATGAAATATGAAACAGGATGCAATCCACGGGATTTGGTCTAATAATTTGATGAATTTGGAAATCAACCATTTGAGGATTTCAGAGATGTTGTATTGTTAGATACAGTGGCTATTAGGCATGTTTATATATCTATTTCACATGCAGTCTTGCTTGTCCACTCCTAAATCACACATATAAGTCTTTGTAGACATGAGACACATGAAAGCGGTAAAGGAAACAACATTTGAGAAAATGCAAATAAAAAATGTGGGGATGATCCATAGAGTGCTGAGTGCTTCCTACATGGGAATTACTGTGATGATCGGCACTCCAAAGTTCTATACTGGTCAGAAGGACCTTGTTAGAGATCATAAGAGGTTGGTGTGGAAAGGCCACCTCCAGAAGGGCAACACACAAATGTAGAAATCAGTGCATGGCTATAAGAACATAAGAGCCTGGTGATTCAGGCCAGTGACTCATCTAGTCCAGCATTCTGTTCTCACAGTGGCCAAACAGATGCTTGTGTGATGTCCTTGAAATAGAAGCAAGTGGGAGAAATACCGCACGCCAACAGCAATTGTATATATAACAACTTGAATTTATGGAGGATAATTTTACCCCCTCTTGTTTTTAGTAGTTTTTAAAATCCTCGTACAGCATCTTGAGTGTGCTAATGTGTTCCATACATGTTTGGTTTTCTGCTACTGCAACTTCCACCATTCAGGTTTGTAGGCATGCATGAACTATTTCTAGCGAAACAGCTCTGAATACTTTTGTAGGCATAATGATTGAAATTCCTGCATGCCCATTAATGTTTCACAAGAGTAGGCCTTATGTTGTGCAGAGTGGAGGCTGGAAATCCAGTTTTGCCTAGCTGTGTTTTCATTGCAACATCAGTTGTGGGACAGGGTAGGGTGGAGGAGTTTCTGTGGTTTTCAAATATTCCATCTTACTTGCCAGATATTCCACCCAAAATCCTGCCTTTACTAATTAGTCTAACACCAGGTACACTCAGTGACACAAAATAGTGATTCTGTTTATATACTCCCAACTGGCTTCCTAATTGACTGAGCTTGCTGAGGTGTTCTAGGAAATGGTTTTGTGGACCCCTCAGACTGTTGTTGCTGGGGAATGTCAGTAGAAACAATTTGGGGCTTAATGGCTACCTTGGAGCTACCCCAGTGTATAGTTGGGCAGGCACATAGCAGGTGCCCTAGATTTGATACTCTCTGCTGATAGGATGTTGGTGATCTTATAGTCAGGGATATTTTGACTCCTTTTTTGTCATTAACAGGTAAACATCTGGTGAGGATTGGTGTTTCAGCACCTTAGTTATTTGTAAACAATGGCAGAGAGATTAAAATTTTCTTTTCCTGGTGGCTGATGGTTTTCAGAAAGCTCATTGGAAGTTTTCAGTTGACTAACATGACTAACCTTTAGAACAGGGAATCGGTTCAGGTGATTGCCATTATTTGCTTGCTGGAGCTGATTCTTGAAGAGCTGAGACTAATGAGGCAGTTAGGATGATAGCGCAAATGCTGTGGTGGAAAACTTGACAAGCAGAGCTTTTCATTGCTGTTAGAGATATCTCATAACCAGGTTAGAAATGTGATCATGAGAGATCCTCAGTAATTCACTGTGGTTATTTGCAAGGCACTTAAGAGTTGCTGATATCCTTTTTATCTTGGGCAGTACAATGTGTACATGTCTGCTGTTCAACACATCCAGTGCATCCATTAGTAGGCTTGTTTGGGTGGGTTGCAGTTTTTTCACCCAAGGATGTGTACAAGATTCTTGGAGTGCTTAGGCCTACCACCTGCTTGCCCTAATATAGCTGATTTTGGCTGATTAGACTTTACTTCAAAAATGGTTCCATTCAATTAATGTTCCCCTAAGGAAATGTGGGAATACTGCCCACATTCTTGTAAGAGAGGATGATAAAACCTTAAATGGATGAGGAAACCTTTTCCTCAATCCCTTAGACCAGAGTTTCCCAAACTTATTATTCCGCCCCCCTTTCAGTAAAAAAAACAACTCAGTGCCCCCCTGGAAATCTACCTTTTTAAAATAAACAAACAGAAAAATGCAGTGACAAATTTGTGTTCTTTTATGTATATATATTTCTTCCTACGTCCTAGACCTAGAACATAGTAAAAAAAAAAGATGTTGTAAATAAGATATCCTGAAGCCTGAAATTATAACTGGCAGGCAAGCTGCAATCCACTTCCCGGGCCTGGGTGAAGCTGAAAAGGGCTCACCCAAGCCTGGGAAAACCCATCACCTCCAGCACACCCACTAGATCCAGGGGAGGCATTGTTGCTGTCCTGCAACAGTGTCATTACACAACAGATGAAACGTGACACTGAAGTGTAGTAGAAAATTTTCCGAACTGATTCCTAGAATTGTTCATAGGCCGGATGGGGTGAATTAATTTACATGTAATCTTCACACTGTAAATGTGTGAAGATTACATGTAATCTTCACACTATGGGACGCGGGTGGCGCTGTGGGTTAAACCACAGAGCCTAGGACTTACCGATCAGAAGGTCGGCGGTTTGAATCCCAGCAACGGGGTGAGCTCCCGTTGCTCGGTCCCTGCTCCTGCCAAGCTAGCAGTTCGAAAGCATGTCAAAGTGTAAGTAGATAAATAGGTACCGCTCCAGTGGGAAGGTAAACGGCGTTTCCGTGCGCTGCTCTGGTTTGCCAGAAGCGGCTTAGTCATGCTGGCCACATGACCCAGAAGCTGTATGCCGGCTCCCTTGGCCAATAAAGCAAGATGAGTGCCGCAACCCCAGAGTCAGCCACAACTGGACCTAATGGTCAGGGGTCCCTTTACCTTTACCTAATCTTCACACTAGGGGATGTTGATGATGGATGGCCCAGTCGTATAAATGTTTTGCCTGTTCTAGAGGGGGTCACACTCCCCAATAGGAGCAGTTTTGCAGATTGGATGGCTAGGTGGCATCTGTGTCCAGGTCTACCTTTTCAGCTTCAGCTAATTTGCCACATGTGTCCGTTTGGTGGAAATAATCTAGCCACTATTATATATGTTCTGGTAA